TCATATGTTATTTGCTGAGGTGCATCTGTTTTCCCTCTAATGGCTCCTTGGCTGGTTTTGGAGCAGGGGAAGCTTCTCAGCTTCTTACGGGAGCCACTCCTGTGGCCCTTCCCCTGCTACCAAAAAACCCACCAAACCAAACCAGAACAATATGATGTCTGGGGTTCAGATCACATTTGTAGCCTTCATTCTAGTCTAAGCTGTTCAATGCATGGTGTGTTTGTTGAAAGGCTCAAAGTCTTCTCTGTTATTCCAGTAAAGCCATCATCTGTCTCCTTTAGATTTGTTCCCTGAATTCATTTGTCTAGGCCTCTATACTTCCTGCTTTCTGAACTGACTTAATTTTCTTCATTTTTTTCCAGTAATGATATAGCCCAGATTCATTGTTCCTCTAGTCATAGTCCAGTCTTACAGTGGCATTAAAATGCAATTAAAGTATACGTTAATGATGTCTTGTCATACCTGCCTCAAATTTGCCTTAGTCTCTTTGTGGTCCACTTGTTCTGGCCACTCTTACCTCTACATTTCATGACAGCTCTTTTCATATTGCTAAGTATTCAGATTTTTGTGGATCATCCTTCTTCACCCCCCTCCCTCCACAGGTCTATTAATTTACATTTCTCTAGGGTGAATTTCATCTGGGCAATTTATACTGCAGTGGGGTCATTTTTCTGTTAGGTTAACTTGTATGCCTTGTTGAAGTTAAGACCTCATTTGTTAGAGCATCTCAGTAGAATAATTTCATCAGCATTGGCAGCTACTAGGAGGAGATGGAGAAAGAAAACATAGGAATGGAGGAAGAAGTTTTCCAAAAGGAAGAGGCAGAGGAGGAACAAAAGAACTTGCAGTTCTAATTTCAAAGAGCTTCTTTTTCATCAACCCTTTGAGTATGGTATACTTCCCAAATGTTAATATTCCTGTAGATAAGACATGGGGGCATTTTTCCTGATGAATGTGACTATGCTAGCCATGCACCCAGATTTTATCAAGACAGCCATTTGGCTTTTCATAGATTTCCTGTCTTTTTTTGTTAGCTAAAAAACCCTAGATGACACTAAAGAAAGAGGAACGCCTTTAATAAAAGTGTCAGTTCACTGCCATTTACACCTCTGTCTCTGCATCCATGAGATGATACATTCTCTGAAGAGGAGAACAATTGTTGTTTTGTGTCATTTTCAGTAAGTGGTGATGTATCCCTCTGTCACTTGGAGTACTGTTTCATGAGGTACATGACACCTCTGAAACATTCTGATATCCATTGTTTTGTATAACAGACATTTAAGGAAGGCAGATGCCTCATAAATGCAATATTCAGACCAATTTATTATTCTCCTGCAAGGGGGTTTAACTCTCCTCTTTCTGTGCCTATTAGTAAACAAAATGCTTCTGGAAAAATGGCAAAACCTTCAGTGTTTACTGGGCCTAAACATGTTATTCCTGCCTCCCCCACAAGCTATGTCATTCCAGTGAACCGTGTACACACTGTTTGGCAAAAACAATTATAGCACTTGTTTTGAATTCATTTGTAATTGTTAAAATGAGGATGTTCCCATTGAAATCCTGATAGTGACAGCGAACTTCTTTTTTTTTGCTTCCTTGAACATTGTGTGGGAATTCTCCTTAACTTTACACATTGGTGATAGATTGTCTACTGTCCTTTGTCTTCAGTATGACCCTCCATGTTGCAGGTGGAGTCCTGGTGGTCAACACTGGATTTCACCTGTTTCTCATGAGAAGCCTTACCTTACCAACCACATCCTCTGTGCTCTGAGTGGCTTAGTTTTGGAGGCTGTTGGTGGTATTTCTGTATCACTCACTCTTGGTCAGTCTTTGGTAACTTCAGATTCCCCAGTCCTAGTCCCAGGTGGTTTTTAGTGCCCTCAGTTTATGTTGACCTTGGTGGGAGTTGAAGACAGTCACAAGACTGGAGGCAGACTGAGTTGGCAGCCTGTACAGTATTCTCTGTGCCTTCTGATTTGAGCATTTAAAGGCCAGGAGCCTGAATGCTTTGATATCTAAAGTGAATTAACTGTTTTGCAGAACATACATTAGTTTCATTTAAAATTATTTTTCTGTAACAAAACTTTTGAAATATCTGTAATTCTTTTTCTGACACATGATGGTTCTAAAAACCTGGCTCCCTGTGGTGCAGAGTCTGACAGAAGTAGATGTCTTGAAAGCTTAGATACCAACATGGGATGGCTTTAGCAGGCACTCTTGAGAAGATCTGTTTTGCCTGGTTTTTGGTAGATACATCATATTAACATCCAGGATAAAGAGAAAGCAAAAACAGACTATGAGGAAACACAGAGTGAAATATACTTTTTTTATTATTATTTTTTCCCCCCAAAGGGATTGGCTTTCGAGAAGTTCTGCTAACCAAGGGGTGCCCCTTGTCTGAAGCAAAATGTATTGTCCGTGTGGAGGAATGTCGGGGGCCAGCAGACTGTGGATGTAAGTGGAACACTGTCATACAGTAATCTAGAGCAAGTCAGTTGGTTCAAAGGAAACAGCCTTGTTCTCTGTGAGTGTGGTGTAAGTGGAGTGGATTGCATTCCGCCCTCCAGTTACCCTGTTAACAATCAGCTAATGTTTCAGATCTCATTTATGTCCTGTACCTTTGATTTCAAGTCCCTGTAAAATACCATTTTTCTGCTATGTGCTTCATTCCAGACATTAGACCAAGCAAAACGTGTTTGAAGTAATTTTAAGGGAAAGGATAATTTCCAAGTAACATTCTGTGGTTTGAAGAATTATTAACTTTATTATCTATACAGAGATGTTTCATATAGTTAATAATGTACCTGTTAAAAATTCCTCCTATAGGGGGGATACCAATTCCTGAAGGCTCTGCCTGCGTGAAGATGCTTTGTATTTCTGTACCTCCTGAAAATAGATTTACATATGTTTGGAAGATATTCGTTGCAGATGAGGTGAGTAATTGAACCCAACTTTGTGCAGAAAAACTGCATAATGCATGTATTTACCATGTACTCCATCTGAATTGTACAGACTCTCTTGGGCAGACTGTTTCCTTAATGCAAATGAGCCCTGATTTTTCACTGGCGAGTTGGTAATACAAGGACTTGCATGGCTTTGTTCCTTCATGCAGCTTCAATTTCCTGTTTATGTGAGGGAAACAGTAATTTCAGAGAGAATGTTTACTGTTATTTCAGAAGAACTGGGCACAGTGGCTGGTGAGTGATTATATGTCAACAAGTCACAACCACGTTACCCTTCCCAGTTGTTCAAGTAGGAGATGCTGAAGAGATGGGGGAAATTTTCCCAGGGGCCAAGAGGTCCCTACAGGTCTAAAATAGAATAAGCACTTTTCTGTGTGTCTGACACAATGCAACTCATCTTTGCAGACCTGTTTGAAAAAAATACACACACACATCCCCCCTTTTAATTTTTCTTTTATTTATGTTTAGGCAGTACACATTGTCCCCCATGATTCAGCTGTTATGGAAGCTTGCAGAGATACCCATTCAGCTACTTTCCAGTGTGAAACTCAAGAAAATGGAACTGTCATTGCCTCTGTAAAATACAGAGTCTGTGCAGCAACGGGTAAGTTCAAAGAGGTGCTTGCAATCTTCTAGTGGTGTGGCCTTGTGTTCTTTATGTGGCACTCAATCTTTGTAAGATTGCAAGGCAGGAGCTTGGGCGCTGTGGTAATGACTGTCATGAAATGCAGGCCAATAAAAGAGACACATAAAGGAAACGACAGAACGGGAATGAAGAGATTTCTTGTGGTTGGAAGGGGTATTTTCTTTAGCCTTGGTAAAAATTCAAGCAAAACTAAGGAGCGTTTCCTAGTACCTGCTTTTTTTTTTTTTTTACTGCACCCGGGTTGTTAACATGGACTTCTTTCTGCCTCGCTAAGCCACACAGAACCAGCAGCCTGAGTCCTGTCATTAAATCTCCTTTCCACTTCAATACTGAAGCAGGAAAACAACCTTTTGGGGTTTTTCATTCAGCAGCCATCTGGAATTTTCTTATTTTAGCGGATTTAGCGGAGTGTAACATTAAGAAGAATACATCCTAAAACAGGTCCACCAGTACTATTTTCCTCACCTCCTCTGCTGATGGGATTTTTGCTGACTTCATCAGGAAAGGTACCAAAGTGCTGATTTTCTCAAACTGTGAGCACAGCCGTGCAGAAACCCCATCTTTTCTAGTCAGAAAGGGTGAAAGTGCCATGCTCACCAAAATTTATTTTTTCCTGTAATTAGATTCAGGTCTTAGGCAAAATTATAGCAGACTAGAAAGAAATAAATCCTTGGATATGCCCTTCTCTGTGTTTCTCCCCTAGGTAAAAGTGGCCTGGGAATTCTGCTTTTTTCCCTCTCTCTTCAGTAAGGCTGTTTCTTCTATCTTTGTTGAGGTCCTTTCTGCCATTGTTCTGTAAGATGGAATTCGTTTAATAATTATTCTAAATCCATCTGGCAGTCACAGAACACCCAAAGATTTCTTTTTTTTTTTTCCTTCTTCCACTATTCAATCTCTACACTCTTTTTGTACAGAGGAAGCCTTCTTTTTGAGACCTGAATTAGCAGAGCACTTTATCTGTTTTGGGTTTAAGCATGCAAATGGTCCCATTGACTGGAGTCGGTGAGTCATCAGGGACTCCTCCCACACTTGTGTTTAAACTTTGCCTGAGCAGTCCTGGTGAAAAGTGGTCAGATTAAACCCACCCAACAGACATACTTGCTTAGAACTTCTTACAAGGATTGAGACTTACTGGTTCAGAAAATATTTACCACTGTGCAGAAATCTGAGGAAGGCAAGCTCTAAGGTTTATTAAGTAGCTTCAAAAGAAAGAGGTTGTTCTGCATAGTGCCAGATCAGCTTCCTTTGGCTTTGTACAGAGGTGTCTCTGGGCTTTGCTTTCCCAGGAGTGGCATTGTTTGGACTTCAGACATTATTAATTCTTAATCAGATACATGGAAGAAGTCATCAGCTGAACTTTTGATTGAGAATGTGCCAAGGCTTTCAGCATATACATCTAGTTTTGCTCTCTGTGGGTGGTCAGAAGTCTAGCCAGACCAGAAGATTGCATTAACTTTTCCAACAGGATCAGGAAGAAATGAGAAAGATCCTTCTGACAATATCAGTGGATACAATAAGACTCCTTGTTTTTGGATGTAGATTTTCTTAGCTGCTGCCTTGTATTTTCCAGAGCTGCTCTCTTCTCTGGGAGCCTGGCTTGCTGCATTGTTCAGACACAGGAAAGGGGCAACATTTCTGCCCATGGTAAATGCTGCTTTTCCCAGTGCCTCATTAAAAGACTTTTTGAAATGAGGGCTGGAAATTTGAGGCTTAAGTTTGTCATCTCTGTCAAGCAACATGGTTTCTCCACCTACTCCAGAAAATCTAAGTATTTATGTCGAGCAAACATCTTCTTCTTTGCCATTTATCTATCTGGTCTCCAAGCTGAAATGTAAAGAAGGGCAGAACCACAAAATCTGTATCAGAAATAGGACAAAAATACAATTTTTCAGGTAATCTACAGGGCTGAACTGGATTTTCTTTCAGCATCCAAAACCAGCCATGGAGATTTCAGCCAGCATGAACTGGCTGGTGTGGTGTGGCTGCTCCTCGTATTACCTCCTAAATTACCTTTTTCTTTCTGTAATCTCTGCCTCACTCAAGTCAATAAGCTTAAGTTTATATATTCTGTCTTTCTCATCACCTAGACCACTTCTTTCATTATGGCACAAAGATACATTCGTGCCAGAGCTAAAGGACAGGGCAGCAGAAGTGGAAATGTGTTTGCTGTGTGGCTGACCTTTCTTCTTGGCACTTTCCTAGAGAGAAAGCCTTGAAGTCATCAACAGAGCTAAAAATTATCAATGCAGCTGGGAAGGGGCGAATGTGTTTGCTTTGGTGTCCTCCTTCCTCCTCTCTGCAGCCCTCTGATATTTTACCCACGTGAACAGCAGTGGCCACATTCAGCAGCACCATCTGCAAGCCTGGCCCCAAAGCCACCACTTGACAATACACAGCTTGACACTTTCTGCTTCAGATTTTGAGGCGTGTGAGGTGGGAGGAAAGGAAGACATGTTGCAAAAGGGTAGGTAAGACCTTACTGGAATTTGTGTGTATTTGCCACGTGGCAAAACGTCTTAAGAGTTAATTTTCAATCTAGGCACAGAGAACTTCCATGTGTCCTTTACCAGTGATCACTGCACTTCTCAGTGACCTTTTGATGAGAATAGCCTTAATGACAGTTTTGCATAAATGAGTGGTCTTTAGTAATTTGGCTCTTTATGTTTTCAGAACTCTTCAGACCTTTGAGTTCTCTTCTGCCTTTATAGCAAGAGAAACATTAACAGGGAAAAAAGTATTTTATCTTCATTGAAAATGATTTGGATGTCTGCAAGTAAAATCCCATATTTTATTAACTGCCATTTCTGTGTGTCCTTCTTAGTAAATCACTACCCTGAAATACACTGAAGGG